ACCCTGGACCTTCCTGGATGTGACGCCCACTTGAGAGGTGACTTTGGCGGAGGGAGAGAGGCCCAAAGGACGCCATAGGATGCTGCTCGTCTTTCTTTCTGGTGCAGAGCTAGCTTGCCCCACCACGGAGAGCGCAGGAGCAGGATCCGAAGGGGCTAGCAGTCGTAAGGCAGCCAAATAATTATCCTCCCCTTACAACAGTTCATTGAGTGTCCGTTCAAACTTACGCCAGTGGAAATAGTGACTGGTGGCCATTTTTCACACTTATGACCGTCGCAGCCTCTCCCTGGTCACCTGGTCAAAATTAAGGCACTTGGCAACTGGCTCATATTTATGACGGTGGCAGTGTCTTGAAGTCACGTGATCCCCTTCGGGCAAGCACAGTTAACGGGGAAGTCAGATTCACTTAACGACCGTGTGGCTAATTTAACAGCGGCGATGTTTCACTTAACAACTGTTACAGGAAGAGTGGTAAAATGGGGTGAAACTCATTTAATTCACCTGTCTTAGCGTTGTAATCTCCCGGCGAATGTAACATTGCCGAAGGATAAACGAACAAAGAGAGCCTCACTTTGAGGTCCAGCTCGGATCCCTCGTGGTCCCTCCCTCCAGCTGCTACAGACGCCTTCAGCTACACGAAGGAGCCCCCCCCCGTTGAGGAATTAGCCCCACCCTGCCCATCCTCTGTGACAGCCAGGGCAGGATTTCAGCACAACAGATGCCGCTTCTTCCTCTTAGCAATTGCTCAGATTTTTTTTTTTTTCTTTCTCTTTTGCAAAAAACAAGACAAATGCTTGTGACATATGGATGGGAGGAAGGGCACACCCAGTGCGGTGTATTCCTAGCAAATACATATATTTTTAAGGAAGACTTAAGTAATAATCAGAATATTGCTAGGAGGGACCTTGGAGGTCTTCTAGTCCAGCCCCCTGCTCAAGCAGGACCCCCTATACCATTTCAGACAAGGGGCTGCCCAGTCTCTTCTTAAAAACCTCCAGTGAAGGAGCGCCCACAATTTCTGGAGGCAAGCAGTTCCGCTGGTTAATTGTCCTTGCTTCTCTCCTTGATGAGTTTCCACCTGTTGCTTCTTGTCCTGCCTACAGGTGCTTTGTGAATAACGTGGTCCCCCTCTTCCTTGTGGCAGCCCCACAAATACTGGAACACTGATATCGTGTCACCCTTCATTTCTCTAGACTGGCCATTCCCACATCCTGCAACCGTTCTTCCTTATGTTTTAATTTCCAGGCTCTTAATCATCTTAGTGGCTCCTCTTTGCACTTTTTTCTCTTTCCCAAAGCCTCAACATCTTTTTAGTAATATGGTGGTTGAGAACCGCTTGTAGCTATTTCCAAGCTGATGGAACAGATGTCTCTGGAATAATGTTTCGGTCGCCAAATATCGCCCTCCGTGCAATTCTTCTCCAAAAGGCCAGACCTGGACGTTCGTCACTCACTCTGCCGAGTCCTCAGGAGACACGCGCGCCCCTGTTAGCCACCCGTCTCCCCAAAGCTGCTTCTCACCCTAAAGGAGCTTAGAAAGGGAGGAATCAAGGAAAAGAGAAGGATGCTGGGTCGCAGTTCCCGGAGAGCCGTCACATGCAATCTGCGAAGGCCCCTCTGCTCCTTGTCATCTCAAGGGAGCAAAGCGGCTTGCAGAAGGCTGGCTGTGGATGGTACCAGCCCTAATACGCTTACGGGGACAATGATCGCATTCAGCAGCTTTCAGCCCCTGAAAAATGTGGAAAGTGCAACTGTTAAGCCGGCTAAGTTGGGGTTGGGGCAGGAGGTGGAAAGCGGTAGACACGACGAAGTGGAATGAATTGGGAAAGCTGGCTGGGGAACTCATTCATAGCAGCTTATCCCCCAGGGAATTATGGTAATAATGTAACTTCAGGATCGAGAAGATTTCACTGTAAGGGGAGTAATTGTTGGACCCCAATGGCTGCTTATGATGACGCCAGGCTGGGTCCCTCAAGCCATGTTCAAGTCTGTAGCTGATACACCTTGTGTTAATCGAACCAATCTTTTTTCTCTCTCGCTCTTCTATCTATATCATCTCATTTGTCATATGTTTCTCTGTATATATAAATCATGTCTATCTCTAGCTAATCATCTATCTATCTATCTATCTATCATCTATCTATCTATCTATCTATCTATCTATCTATCTATCTATCTATCTATCTATCTATCTATCTATCTATCTATCTATCTAAAGAATTAAGTTGGGAGACTAATATGGCCATTTCCAGCTCATTCTGCTCTCATCAGTTAGCCACACCCTTTATGGGATTCGAACCTGGGAAGTTTACATACTAGGCAGTGATTTAACCACCAAGCCACCGGCTCTCCTCCCCTCTTTGCCATCCGAGTCAAGGGAGTATATACAGGACGTTTTTCAGACAGACCAGTCTGATTGACTACACCTTGGCATTTTAACTGCTATACTGCAGTTCTACTTTTTACTATCTCTTTTGCCTTGCAGCCCCCCCAACTAGGGGCGTTAAGCTCAAGTCGCTATTGCAAAACATCTGTCTGTCTCTCTATCATCTTTCTATCTATTTATATCTGTCTGTCTGTCTCCCTGTCTATGTATGATTCTATGGTTCTCAGTTCTGGTCTCTTGTTTCAAAACACCCTTCCTTCCTTCCTTCCTTCCTTCCTTCCCTCCCTCCCTCCCTCCCTCCCTCCCTCCCTCCTTAACTATTAATTATGATTTAAGTCAATGTTGAATGCATTAAAATGCATACAAAAAGAAGAGTGGCCTGGTGGCCTAATGGTGGAGACGCTTGCCTCCCACTAGGAAGGTTGAGAGTTCAATCCTAGGTAGCAGCAGATGTTTATCAGAGTGCAAAGAAAAAAAATATCTGCTGTGAACCCTGCACAGGGATCAGGAAGGGCATCTGGCTAGTAAACGCTCAGCTCCATCCAGTCGCCCTGATTCTACCCTGAATAGGAACTGCATAGTCATAAAGAGGGAGGCTTGTTTGAGTGCATAAAAAACTGAATGCTCATGAACGGTCAAGGTAACATCATCTCAAATGTGCAGCTCCCATTAACCTATGTGGGCCGAGATCCTGTTCTGGTAGGAGCAAAGTAGGATGGAAAAGCTAAGCTGAGTGTCACGATTGCCGGATAAGCGATATGTACTGATGCTCAGTGTCTGCATTGCACAATGATTCTTCCCCATTTAAATCTGAACGAAACTGCTGATTTATTGGTGAACATGATATGCAGTTAGCTTAAGTGGCCAACGCTATAAACATTATGAACTTGAACCAGATTGTTGTCAGCATTTGTCTCTGATGCACAATTCTAAAACAAGCAAACACCACACCCACACTGCTTTTGTGGGTGCTCCTTTTGAAATGTCGACAGAACCAGCGATTCTGGGAGACCGCGTGAAGTCGAACAATTGTGTGAGTCCATTGTGTAAGGAACCCACGGGATGCAGAAGAGAGAAAAGCCGGCTGAAACAAAGGCACAGGTTTTGCACACTTGTCTTCTGAATTAACTTTACACGGACTCTCAGCTATAAAAATGTGTTCGGATGGCCTGTCTTTCTCCTCGGTTTCAAAGTCCCTACAAACAGCCCTAAGAGGAGAAGAGATTGCTTAGCTGCCTTGCAAGATTTCTTGGGGATAAATAATTCCTCTGATGGACACAGAGCAGGGCTGGGCTGTCCACAAAAATGACCTACTTAAGTAAAACAAACAAGCAAACAAAAAATAAACAAAAAAATGCCATTAAACAGCTGTACATGGAATATCCCACACTCTTTTGAAAACTTTTCCTTTGTAAAAAAAAGTTCTATTAGATATGGATTATTTATCACGAAGGCCAATATACGTGTCCCAGGATAACGCTGCAGGATCCAATCTGAATCGGTCATCGGAATCAGACGTTTAGTCTGGTCGAGAGACTGACTCAGACTGGATCCTACAACATTATGTATTACTTATCATTGTTAACAGACAGCATATGTATTTAAAAATATCTTTGTAATAGGGAAACAGAAGATCAATATTCCTATTTCTTTTGTTTGCACCACTTTGTTGCTATTGTTTTGTTTTTTTTAGAAAAACAATTTATTTGTGTATTAACGGGAAAGGAAGTATATAGAGTATGTGTATTAAACGTGAAGAAACACTCACAATTATGGAAGGAAGGAAAAGGGTACCTTGGTAAAGATTAAATATTTGTACAAGTTCTTTCCTTGCCTTTGATGATTTGTGTGTGTGCTTATGTGTGTGCTAGAAGCACTTACGATTCTTAATCCTAAGAATGCTTCAATCCATATTACGGAAGCAAAAAAATTAAAAAAATATGTTGAGGACTTCAGAAAACCTATGAATGGCATGTGGTAATTATATCAGGGGAAACATGAGAATTATATATTAGGGGAGACATGATAGCAGTCTTCCAATATTTGAGGGGCTGCCACAAAGAAGAGGGGGTCAACCTATTTTCCAAAGCATTTGAAAGGCAGACAAGGAATAAAGGATGAAAACTAACCAAGGAGAGAAGCAACCTGGAACTAAGGAGGAATTTCCTGACAGTGAGGACAATCAACCAATGGAACAGAAGTTGCCTTCAGATGTTGTGGGTGCTCCATCACTGGAAGCTTTTAAGAAGAGACTGGACTGCCCATCTGTCAAAAACGGTGTAAAGACTCCTGCTTGGGCAGGGGGTTGGATTAACTGACCTCCAGGGTCCCTTCCAACTCTTTTATTCTAATTCTAATATCAAAGTTACCTTCTGTCAGTCTGAAACGATGAGCTAAGGCAGTAGGCACCTTGCTCGGATGCCTATAACGCCCCTATCAGCATGAATCGGAGGGCGCTTCCCTCCTTAGAAGTAGCATCCAGAGGAGGTGATGGTCCTCTAGAGCAGTGTTTTCCAAACTTGACAATTTTAAGGCATGTGGACTTCAACTCCCAGAATTCCACAGCCAGCAACGCTGGCTGTGGAATTCTGGGAGTTGAAGTCCACATGCCTTAAAATTGTCAAGTTTGGGAAACACTGCTCTAGAGGCTTCCCCGTCCAAGAATTCATCCCAGGACACCGAACCGATTCAGTCTTAGAGCTGGCAGAAAGAAAGCCTTTGGTGATCCTCACAGTTCTTCTCCAACTTGTTGTTCTACCTCATCATGCACAGAGCAAATGTAAGGAAGGAACGTGGCTTAAACTGAGTGATAGCTGGGCAGGCTTCATCACGGTCTTCTTGGTGATGCCATTGGGAAGTCAACCTCAACTCTGGTAACTTATGAAATGGGAAGAGGAAGCAAAGACGGTTCAGATGAGTTTACATTTCCTGGTTCAGATGCTGGTTCACGGTTGAAGAGGCAGCCTGTCCCCGTGACGTCTTTCCAAGCTGAGTCTGGAGAGCATCCATGATGTCATGTAATTTTTGGTCAATCTGGATGACCTGTTGGGAAAGCAGAAGGCACACGGTCTGTTACTTTGCCGATTGAGGCATATGTCAATCATCCTTCAAACCAGGAATTGTTTTATGGCAGGGATGGGGAACCAGGGCCCTTTTATGACTTGTGGACTCCAATTTCCAGAATTCCTGAGCCAGCCAGGTTGGCTGAGAAATTCTGGGAGTTGAAGTCCACAAGGGCCACGGGTCCCCATCCCTGTTTTATGGAATGGATTTCAGACAAGAAATAACAGCCAACTGGATCACATTTCCAACAACATAACAGCTTTTCCACTGAGCTTTTGGATTGTGATAGCTTAAATACAACCAGTCCATTAAAAACCAGGCGGTTATTCTGGTACAAATTTGTGAACCACAGAAATATTTTCATTATTATATCTGGGAGCTCGTTTCTCTTACAGATCCAGTCAAATGAACATTTCAATTAATTGTAATCCCAGACAAACATTGAAACAATAGGAAATACTATTCATATTTTCTGACATGGAGTGTTAGGCGTTCATTGTCACATTGGAAAAAGCCCCCCCCCCCGCCTCCCCACCGTGCATTTTCCAGCAATATCAAAGTCATGATAAAACCTGGGATTTTTAAGATTTTTTTTTTTTTTTGCAAAGGGGTAAAATGAAAGTCCTGCCAAAAAAAGTAAGAATACTTACTTTGGCACAAAACCAGGAAATCTTGTGGGAGGGGGTTCAAAAATAGCAAGATGGTATCTCTAACTGAACAGTTGAAGTCCTGCACATTTTTAACACTGTCCCCGCCTTTGCTTTTTTTAGTATTAGTTTTATTCATTGATAACATAAAATGTGAAAGGAAGGTTGTAAATGGTGATCAAACAATCCTGGGATGTTGCAGCCATCACAAATACACGCTGGTTGCCAAGTGGCCCATTTTTGATCACGTGATCGTGGGGAAGCTGTGACGGTCGTAAATATGAGGACCGTCATTACTGTTTTCAGTGCTGTTATAACATTGAATAGTTATAGTGAATGGTGAATGGTTATACTAGTTATAATTCAATGGTGAATGGTGAATAGCGAATGGAAAGTAATCCAGGAGAAAAGCAACGTAGAACTAAGGAGAAATTTCAAGACAATGAGAACAATTAACCCGTGGAACAACCTGCCTCCAGAGGCTGTGAATGCTCCAACACTGGAAGTTTTTAAGAAGAGACTGGACAGCCATTTGTCTGAAATGGTCTAGGGTTTCCTGCCTGAGCAGGGGGTTGGACTAGATGACCTCCAAGGTCCCTTCCAACTCTATTATTATTTCCCATAGCAGGAATCCCCCTGTGAGAACTTGGAGGCCTCACCGATCCTGGGCAGAGGTCAAGGCTGGGACCTCGGAGGCGTCTTTTCCTGGCACGGCCCTGGTCCCGGGGGTCTCGGATGCTTACACAGCTGTGAGAGCAGGGAGAATTTAAAGCAGGGAGACCCAAGGCTGAGCCCTGACATCGCAAGGATTTTTTCTTCAGATGCTATCACTTTTTTTTTTTTTAAAAGGAAAGCCTTTGCAAATATCAGTTATGGTAGGATATCTTGGCAGGCCCTTGAATCTGGAATAAATGCTTCTAATGTAAACCTTTCAACCTTCAGTCCTGATCTCTAACTCATTAAATAGTTTTTTGGTAATTCTCTGGGTAGAAATAATAGTAATAGTAATAATAGTAATAGTAGTAGTAGTAGTAATAATAATAATAATAATAATAGTAATGGCATTGACAAATTCACCATTAGTCAATTGCAAAAGGTGGCTTTACTAGGAACTGCTTCCATCCTGCGACGATACCTGTAATACCATCAAACATCCACATCTGCCTATCCCAGGTCCTGGGTAAGGACTCGATAGGTAGACAAAATGCCAAATCCAGTCTGAACATCTGGCTGACTGTGCGATGATTCATAATAATAATAATAGTAGTAACAACAACAATCCCAAAACAACTGGAGCACCACTTGGACATCTTCGGCATTGACAAATTCGCCATCAGTCAATTGGAAAAGGCGGCCTTACTAGGAACTGCTTCCATCCTGCGACGAGATCTGTAATACCATCAGACATCCATTTCTGCCTATCCCAGGTCCTGGGTAAGGACTTGATAGGTAGACAAAATGCCATATCCAGTCTGAACATCTGGCTGACTGTGTGATGATTCATAATATTACTAATAGTAGTAACAACAACAACAACAACAATCCCAAAACAACTGGAGCACCACTTGGACACCTTCGGCATTGACAAATTTGCCATCAGTCAATTGCAAAAAGCAGCCTTACTAGGAACTGCTTCCATCCTGCGACGAGATCTCCCTTTTGCTTGTCACCTTCTTCCCCCGCTAATGGACCAATCCTTTCCTTAACCTTTTTCTTGTTTTTTATGACAATTGCTATAAGGAAAAATGGAGGATGGAATACTTGAGGGCTTGGAGCAGGAGGTCTTCAAACTTGGCCCTTTGATGACGTGTGGACCTCAACTCCCAGAATTCCTCAGCTAGGCACGCGTCCCTGGCTGAGGAATTCTGGGAGTTGAAGTCCACACGTCATCAAAGGGCCAAGTTTGAAAACCCCTGACTTGGAGAGAAAGGATGAATGAATGAATTACAATGAACTAAACAAGTACCTACAACACACCTCTCTCTAGGCTTTCACACTGCAGCAACAGTTTTATTAATAATACAATAATAATAATGTTTTGAAGATTCAGTTGTGTTTCTAGGATAGGGCAAGCCCCCCTCCAAATATTCTTTGCAGGGGCCCAACCGTGGGAAATGGGCTATTTTTATTTCTCATTAAAAAGCTCCCCAGAGACATCTTGTTGGCCAATGGAAGGAATGGAGCAGTTGACTAAGGTAGCCTTGACCTGATGCTATCACGTAAACAAAACACTAGAATTGACCAAAGAAGACATCAGGGAGGGCCTTCAAATATTATGCTACGGAGATCCAGTTTCCACAATTCCTTTCCATGTGGATGGCCACGAAGGATTTGCTTCTCTGACCCACAGAGTCACACAGAAGTGGGGAGAGAGGGAGGAGGGAAACCCAGCCTTTGGCCCATGGGATAATCTCGTTTGAGTTTCCCATTAGCTCTTGTTTATTTTCCTTCCACCAAACTTATCTGGGACTGGCCATCGTTTCCCGGCTCTGCGTTCCTTTCTCCAAAAGAGGCCCACCCATTCTTAGGTTAGGTGTTAAGAGGGCTCTGGTGACCTGGATCACAGGAACAGGATTTTTTTTTTATTAAAAAAAAAAACACAGTTCCACTTGTTTTGGTTTCCATCTACCTTTCCTGTTTCAATTCACACACGCAAGAATCATGTTTCCTCCCCCCCCCCATCAGCCATTGCAAAGGTATCTCTTTGCGGGGGGCGGGGGGCAAAGAAAGGGGAAAAAGTTTAAAAATGAACATTTTTTCCCATGAAGAACCGTTCATGTGCACAAGAGATAGAGGTAGACCCCTCCCCATACATACGTTTCTCTTTAAAGGAAAGGGCTGCCATCAACTTAATCATTCTGTATTTATCTAAGAGCAGCTCCAGTTGAATATACAGTCTACCTTTCTGCCCCTGGCTATGTAGACAAGTGCAAAATGAATTGGTCAAACCGTAGGCTTTAATCGATTAAAATGTTCACTTGTTTGTTTGTTTATATCTCACCCTTTTATTTTTATAAACGGGTTAAGGTGGTGCATATGCCTAATGTTCCTTCCTTATCCTATTTTCCCAACGATAACCCTGTGAGGTGGGTTGGGCCAAGAGACAGGGACCGGCCGAAAGTTACCCAGCTGGCTTTCATGGTTAAAGTAGGACTAGAACAGGGGTCTTCAACCTTGGCAACTTTAAGACTTGTGGACTTCAACTCCCAGAATTCCTCAGCCAGCCAGGTCTCCCATTTTCTAGTCTGATGCCTTAACCTCTAGACCAGGGGTAGGCAACTTGGCTCTTTTATGACTCGTGGACTTCAACTCCCAGAATTCCTGAGCCAGCTATGCTGGCTGAGGAATTCTGGGAGTTGAAGTCCACGAGTCATAAAAGAGCCAAGGTTGGCTGCCCCTGCCCTAGACCAAACTGGCTCTCATTTGATTAAATTTGATAAATTCGATTAAATAATAATTCTATTTGTGCATCATTGCGTAAAATCACATGGGGTCCAGAAATTTGATGACCGACTCAGAATTGGATTTTGCAACATTATCCTGGGACACGTGTAGTCTGTTCAGAAAGTATTCAGACCCCCCCCCCCTTCACTTTTGTTAATTTTGTTACGCTGCAGCCCGATTCTGCAGTTGTTGAAATTCATTTTTTCCCCCTCTCATTAAACTGTATATTTGCCTTCATTTGTGAAATACATACTATATAGACAGAAGCGAAGGTGAACTTCAGGTTTTTAAGAAGAGACTGGACAGTCACTTGTCTGAGATGGTATAGGCTCTCCTGCTTGAGCAGGGGGCTGGACTAGAAGACCTCCAATTGTCCCTTCCAGCTTCTATTCTATTCTATTCTATTCTATTCTATTCTATTCTATTCTATTCTATTCTATTCGTCCAACAGGTCTGCACGAGAACTGATCCAGAAAATAAGATGATCATTTCCCCAGCACCATGAATATTCTAATCTGGAGTGATTTGATTTGTTGCACAGGAAAATGTAAACTATCGCTGGATTTTACTTTGCAATATTTTAGTTTACAGTAAAATAACATTTGATTGTATTCTGTTTTTGCTCTGTAAGAATGGTTTAAGTTCCCTCGTGAGTCGAAATGCCTTTTGAAAAGAAGACATAAATGTATCAAATGCTAATAACCCATAAATTCCCAGTCCAACATAAAAACAAAAGTCATCTGCACAGCAACTCCCATTCTCACAAACTTTATCTCTCTTTTCCACCTGCCTCACCTTGGTTTGATATCTGGGCAACGGAGTGAATATGGAAAGATAAATATTTCATTTCCTTCACCCCCCCTGGAGCTGAACTAAATACAGCAAAAG